GCATCCTCAAAAACAGGAAACGCTGAAACAAGGGCGCAACGGGTTTTCCTTGTTATAAAGGAACTACCACCAGATGGTGACACAGTTTCAGCGAGGTATGGTGGCGCTTCCCTGAACCCTAATTCCCTATTTAGTGAGGGACGACACCTTTCCTCTTTCCTTTTGTCTCCCCTTTCTTCTTTTTCCTCCTCCTCGGCTGAGGATGAGGAAGTAGAAGAATTCAAAGTTAAAGCTTGCATTTGAGCTTCTACTTTTATATCTTTATATGACTTTCTAAACCTGGCCAGGGAGGGATACAACCTTTTCTCCCCCCCTGGGCTTCCGGACCCCTGGTTGTGAGTATCCGGAGCTTCCTCATTTTGCCCCTGTCTACTGGGCAACTTGTCTTTTCTCTTATCCTGCTCTGGTTCTGATAAGCTATCTTGGTGCTGTTCGAGGGCCAGTTGTCCATCTCTTAACACATCTGAACACCTCTCATCCTCAAAACATGCATCAATAATTCTCCATAAAGAATAAACTCCTGGCCTTAACTTCTTCTCCGTTCTTAGAATCTTTAATTGGGCTCCCAATTCCTTCCAAGCCTCCCTAGTTACCTTTCCTGATGTTTCAAACCAAGGTGCTGCCGCCTGGATGTCATTCAGAAATCGCTGCTGAAAAGAATCTGAGAGGGATAGCCCCTGGATCTTCAATAATTTCTTCAGGATTTTCAAAAAAGGAGAGGACTGCATTGCCCCCATTCTCCAGGATAACTTACCTTCCTTATGCAGGTCGCCTCAGTTCTGAATCCTCCTGTTCAGCACAGGGACCTTCTCCGATGCCTGGATCTGTTGTCTTGAGATTATTCCCAGCGTCCCGGGTTTCGGCACCAGTTGTCGCGAGCCGCTTGCCAGCAAGAAAGCACGCAACACTCAGGATCCTTCTGAAGCTTCTTTATTATCTTGGGAGAAGGTCTAAAGCTTTTACAAAAAACCTTCCTTTATATATCCTGCTAACTATATTAACTCGACAGAAACAAGAAGTTACAAGATCACGACTATAGCACATTCCGATCACTATCAGGGGAACAAACTTCAGGCAGGGAGCAACCATAAAAGCAATGTCGCCATCCCAGAACAAACATCTTGATCAAGGATGACTTAAACAAAGAACTTCTGCAAATAAGCCACAATCCCAACACAGCTCAGCAAACAGGAGACTGAAATTCCTCACGATGACTTGGCAGCCTGCAGTGTCTGCAGACCAAAGCACTCCACAGTCTTTGTTCCCGTGATGCTTCGCATTTTCCCCCTCCCACGTTCTCCTCCCTGCTGTGCCCACAACACAGCTTTTCACCTCCCAGCAGTACTACCTACTTCAGTTGCCCAGGACAAGGCCATGTATGAGCCAGACCTAAAGCAGCACCCCCTTCTTTCCTTATTTTTTACTTTCTCAGCATAGTTGTATGCTGGGCGTGGTGGCACACACCTGTAATACCATTCTTAGGAGGCTGGGGCAGGAGAATCACCACAAGCTGGAGATCAGCCTGAGCTATGTAGTGACTTCAAACCCAACCTGAACTACATAGCAAGACCCTACCTCAAAAAAACAAAACAAAACAAAAAATGTAAAAATTTTGTAAAGCATTCTCTCCTTACATCCTATCTTTGCTCCTTTTTGAAGTAATGATACATAAATGTGTTAGTATTGAAAACAGTCAGATGCAAAATAGAGTAAGATGTAAAAGTTCACTCCACAGTTTATGCTTATTATTCACACTAAGGTACCTATACTTCCTAGTTACTTTTTTTTTTTTTTTTTTTTTTTTAA